AGGTCCCTTCCAACACAAACCACTCTGTAATCAATTCACATCATTTACATGATGTTTTTCCTGTTCCTGTGAGTTGCAGTCTTGTCACTTCTACTTTGATTTAAACAAAACAAAACTCTTTTTCACCTTTTGAAAACACTTCTTCCATGTATTTTTTCCTCCAAGCTGGAAACATTAGTTTATTTCCTTACAATTTTCAGATAACATCATGCTTCTGTGAAGCACAAACAGTAGATGAAATACACGGGTGGAAATAAGCACCAGCCTGAAATCTCCAAACTTCTTGAATTTCGAGTTTCTCCCAAAACCATTTCCAGTTGGAGGGACCACCAACACACAGCTAACCTTAGAAGATGCTTGGTGTTCTTTAACTACAATTTCACATTTTATTTTCACTGCAATGCTGTTTCTCAACTTTCAGTGGGTATAGCAAGCTACTTACCGTATTAAACAGCAAGAGACTAGACCTCGGTCACAGAAGCCATGCCTTTATCACATTAGTTCCCACCAAATGCTGTCAGGTTTTATCTGCACCACTCTTCTACAGAGATTTTCAAATGACACCATCCCTGTACAGTCCCTCAGAAAAGGCACAGGTGAAAAAGTCTGTATTCTGTTCCCAACTTGGGGACTCAAGAGGCAGACTTCCCTGACCACGATGTGAAATCACACGCCACTGACCCAAACCAAGAGTTTTGCACCCGCAGCCACCTGTACGTATCTGACAGGAAAAAATATACTACTGCCTGCTACATGCAGTTTTCTTCAAAAACTTTTTCCTTTATTCAAGCCAGCCTGTTTCCCTGCTCCTGCCATCTTACAGCATGTCCTGGCACTTAGGGGAAGGCACCGAACACATTACTGCGTTTCCGTCTTTGCAAAGAGGGTACAGAAGGGACAATACCCTCAAGCAGCTTTAAGGGCATCAAAACGGACAAGACAGCAGATTTCCAGTCCCAGAAAGCAGCACTGCCAAAATTCCCTTCCTGGAGCCTGCCAACAAGCAAGAGCACTTCTGATCCCTGCAGAAACCACCTTCCTTTGCTCCGTGTTGCTACTCCGCAACTTGTAAAGTACCCCTAACTGCTCCCCATGGCTCCCAAAGCATGACCCAGAAGGGCAGCAGCCCAGCATCCCCCTGCCATGCCCACACGAGGACGAAGCATGGCATTAAAAAAAAAAAAAACAAACAACAAACCAACAAAAAAAGTATGTTCTCCTGTTGCAGCACATTGTTTTCAAGTCAAACTATGAGACTCCAGAGGGTGGGGGGGAGAGTGATGGCTAAAGTAGACTGCTGTTTCCCAAAAGCTGTGGCTCACCGCCAAAGTCAGGCAAGCATGGAGCAGATGGAGTCCTGGCAAGGCCTCTACTGTCCCTGCATTAGCAGCATCTGCTCATTACCCAGAACCCTCGCCTGCTTTATCTAATGCTCCAGGAAAAGCATTTTGATTTGATTCATTTCAGTTCGGTAACGTGCAACACAATTAGTGGTAAAATCAAACTGGAGGACTGCCAGTGCTGACAATAGGAAACAAGGCAGAAGAAATATGAGGCCAGTGGGTTGGAATTCAAAAATCACAACTGTGGATCAAGTTGCCAAGTCCCGTTGCCCCAGGTGTACATACAGTGCCCCCACTGAGTACTGGCATGGGTGGAGGGAACTTCATTTTCTCCCCGCACATTTTTCTCTCATTTACCTCTCCTTGCAGCTTGTTTCTCAGAGGCTGACACCGTCAGAAACATTCACCAGAAGTCACAATTCAATTTTTCTCTAGTGCCATCACGGAGTTACAATTCACTTTGGATGTGGGCATCCCAGTAGGACAAATCTTTCTCCTTGCTATATTTCATATGCCTTGGGAAGCGTTTGCTACTACTGAACCAGCAAAACAGCGCTGCAAGGCAGGCACGGCGTGAGCAGAATCTGCCTGTTAGTTCTTCCCTGTGATCGGATGCCAAGGACATCGCTGCGTGAGCTCTGTTGAACTGGGAGAAACTGATGTTATCTGAACGAGTCTGCTAGCCAGGGATTCGACAGAGAAGTCTAGACTCTTTGCCTGACAGCACCACCTCCAACACTAGCAGATGGTTTCTCTGTGTTAGTCAAACTTACAAACAAAGAGAAAAGGGAGCTGGAAAAGTACAACAAAGGACAATCAAACACATTATTTTCAAAGTCATCCTCTCCCTCCCCAAGTTTAAAAGAATTCTCTCCACCAAACTGTAAATATACACTTTCAGATTCCCACATTTCTAAAATCAGTCTTTGTAATTCCCTGTTCACATAGAAACTAATCTATTCTGACCAGGCTTCTGAAATCAGAGTAACTGCCATATCACAGAGCCCATTAAAATATCTACCCAAAAGAATAAAAGATGCCGAGCTTTATGCAAACTAGTTTAGTCACAGCACATGCAGGGCTGACAACAAGGAATATGACAGAAAAAAAACCCTAGACAAATTATTAGATTAGCCAGTGGGAGACTAGAAAACAAACAAAAGACCCTCTGCTAGTCATTGTTTGGCACATTGGACAAAAAGCCAACACTTCAAACTATCACTGTGTTATAATTTCCTACGACTCGAGTAAATAATATTAATGAGTATTCTGTAATACCAGACTTGCTGTTGTCAGAAAACATTGCCTATCAACAGTTTTTAGCCACAGAAAACCACTCTAGCACGATCAACACTAGAAAAACAGCTAAGGATGTTGATCACCTTAAAACAGTTGTTTTCACATATAAAGCATTTAATTTACTTATAAAATAAAATATATGGATTAGAGATTTTATTTTGATTACCCGTCTTCAGCTTTGTTTTCACATGTAGAAATGCCAGGATCAAAGACAGTATGTGTACAAATCTCCCTAACTTTAAAAATACTCTTTATTCATACCCGAGGAGAGGTTATTAAGTGCCAAATCACACCTTTTAAAGAAAGACGACAGGAGTTGAGTTCTGCCTGAGCAACTCAGCCTAGGATCCCAATTGGCTAGCCCTGTCCAAACCTGACTTTTTCAATTGCTGTTCCCATGTCCAGTAGATGTACGGCTGGTCTCTGGCTCCTGTGGTCCATTTATAAACATCTAAGTATATTCAAAACAATGCATATAACCAGGATTTTATTAGAGTTTCATTAAAGATTACATCACAGCTTTTATTTCTCTGTATCAAAGTATATAATAACCCATCACTGCAAACCAAAAAATACTTTAGCTAATGTGCATCCATACACTATGCCAAGAGCAAGAGAGGACGCAGATTAATTAGACATGCAAGTTTACCAGTATTCCCATAACAAAGCTTCAAGGCACCCCAAGGGAGTTTTGGACAGAGGAGAAGGCTGGTGGAAGAATATTTAATATTTTTATAGCAAAACAAGTTATTTGCTTAAGATAGTTTGGCTGGACTACAGCCTGGCACTCAAGCTTTGTGTAGCAGTTCCAGTAGGAATTAAACATCAGTTTTAATGGGTGCTATGTTCCAATGCCTCCTAATGCATTTAGGGTTATTGGCCAACTTTCTCACATAAAAGCAAGTGTGTGCGTGTGTGTGTATACACAGGATTACAGACACACAAAAAGCTGAGCACAGCTGCTTCATTTTTGTAAAGCCTTTTTTTTGTGGGTTTTTTTTTTTTTATAAATAGGGAGGAGAGTTGTGGTTACTCACCGTCCTCATAAGCTGCTACAGCCAAAGAGCTGTTTATCCTCACAAAGGAGACATGTGGCTGAGGTCCAGCATCACCAGGACCATGCACTGGTTCCAGGATGGGGGCTGTGTAGTCCCAGGTGCGAGTGTCCCACAACCTCACTTCTCCTGATGTGTATCTGGAAAAGAAGGCTATTATACATCCCAAAACATCTGAAAAGAGGTAGCTGGAGAAGAAGGGAGGAAGGAACAAAAAGCATCTTAAAACCCAACACCACGTACAGCTCCTAGATTGATCCTCCTCCTGCTCACACACCCTGTGTGCAAGCCCAGCAACCTTACTCATTTTATTCCCATTTACTGAACATGGCATCAAGTCTATTAAGACAGGCAGGTAAACTGGAGCTACAAGAGCAACGTGACTGAGCTACCACAGGTTACCAACTACCGATATAAGCTTTACAACTAGAATGCAAGGAGAGCCGGGCTCAAGGGAAAAAAGGTAATCAGTAATGAGTCTAAATTACACCATGGCAAAACTTCAAACTGTTTCTTTTCGGTCTTTAAAAATTTGTGATTGTGGTTGTGCCAAGGAGAGGCTGTTTAATCAGAGTATTTATGTACGTACACGCAAGCTCCCACACGCACACACCCATCCAACCTACTGCTCTTTATAGAAAGATATTTCTTAATGCCTCATCAACAGATCAGATTAATCTCTGAAGATTAATTCATTTATTAATACAATTAAGTGTTGTCCTTCGAATTAAGGCAGTGCTGCTGCCTTTGCAGAAGGCTCTGTCACCGAAACATCAGAAAAACTATAGTCTAACATCAAACTATAGCTTGCCAGTGAGAAAATAAAAAAACAGACCTAAACTTCCCAGGTAACACTGAATATATCTAAATGAATGAAGGTTGTTACACAGCAAGCAACACAGAAGCTGTTCTGGCCATCTATGCTGTAGCACGTAACATATCATTAAAGGAAAAAACCACTGCAGGCAAAGTAGAGGAGAAGCTCCCTCTACAATTGGTCAAAGAACACAGTTCAATAGCTGTTTGGAACAGTTCAATAATTATTTAAGATAAGTTTTGACAGAACTGTGACAATTAACACTGTCTAACAGTCTCAGAGGTCTTCCTCTGCCATAGCTGAGACTTGGATTCTGCCGGAAAATGAAGGGTGCTTCCTGCTCTGTCAGCTTTGTTGTTATATCCCAACTTTCGGGGGAAAAGTATTTCGAAAGAATTAATCTTTTAAGCCTCAAAGGTCTAGCAGTTAGAAATCTGGCTGTCCTATGTTTATGAGGAGAGTAAGAACATAGTTATTGAAAAAGGAGGTGAAGCAAAGTCCTTAATGAAGGTTTAGAAGATGTTGGACTTCGACTCCGGTTACCCAGTTCTTTGGGGAGCACCATGCAATAGGGTTACAGGTACTCTGGAGCAGATTACTCCCAGCATCTCTGGGTGAAAATGTTTCACTTTATACAACTAATTAAAGTGCCTGAGGGGGCGGTGAAATCTGTCAAGCAGAGAAAGATGCACATTAATTCTCTGCACTGAGCGGGGAACAGAAGAGAATGGTGTCCTTGTCACCTGGCTTCCTCTTCAGCGCTTTACATGGTAAGAAAGAAGAAAATGAGAGAACAAGGTGGGAGAGCACTTCTCTCTTTTCCTCCTTCCGCAAATGAGGCCCAAATCCCCCTATGAATTCTGCTTTCCTTTCCAATTTACAGCAGCACTATCTAAAAAGAACTGATCAAGAAGCTTCCCCAAAGCCAAGCAAAATGTTTCATGTCGGACCGAACAAGCAGTCCAGATTAGTCCACAAGTATCTTCAGTTCACAGAACGGAAAAGTGCTCACTTCAGACACATTATTTGGAGACAAGAGACAATGGGACAGGTAATCATACAGATCTGCTGCAGTCCCCTTCAAGACGAGACACACAACACATTTTGGAAGCATTTTCATTTTGAGCTGCTTTTTGTTTCCCTTGATGTTTGGGTTGGTTGGGGTCATGTTTTCAGGCTTCTCCTGGCTGCAAAGAGCAACAGATTACCCCCAAAGGGGAAGCCAAAATTCACTTGTCACGAAGTGACCCTGAAAAGTGAGTTTCAAAGGAGACATAAAATACTGGTAGAACTGGCAGACCTAAGTGGCAGAATATTCATTTTCATCCCCAAATAAGCAAAGAACCGCAGCACTCCTAGTGCATATACATACTCGCTATCACATAGTCCAGTCTAGGAATGTAAAAAGAAAGACTAATAAATGGAGAAACCAGAATGACAGGAACAGGGAAGAGAGAAGACATACAGGGCTGGCTAATCCTCCGAGTGCACTGCTTCTGCTTTTCCTACATACCATGCAGAACAAGTAATCCAGGGCTCCAGACACACTACTGTCCATAAAAAATAACGTGGATGGCAATCTTGGAATTAAAGATCCAGCATCACAGTACCACAATAAGCACCTAAATTAATTTTATCTCAGAATTCAACCAAGCCAAAATTTAGTCTGAACCATTCTTTGTTCTTGAAGAAGAACCTGAACCACCCCTGCAACTAAACTCAAACTGGAACCAAATGTTTCTGACTATCAGTTTGAAATAAATTCAACTCCGATGTGTTTGTGCTGGGACCTGTTAAATGCAGGAACTGTCTCTGCTCGCTAGGCTCTGCATCAGAGCACCCTGCAGCCTCCTCATCCTCACCCCCTTCCTCTCCAGCGATGGACAGGCACATGCTGAAGAGCTTTCACTTCTACACCCTGAAGCCATGCTTCCACCCCTAGGAAGGACCTGCTGCACACAAGAGCTTGTTACGGGTTCCTCAGGTACATTCCAGGGGGTTCAGGCGGAACAATCCGTAAGAGGATCCTGGCCACAGCGCTCATCCCAGTTCTGTCATGACAGAGAACGGGAAGCACTACATGTGCCAGGAGAAGCCTGCAAGTGCCCACCAACCCGTACCTCCATGTCCGTCTGTCCCAAAATCTCACCAGTGCACTGCAAGACAGGACAAGTGCTTTACATTCACCAGGAAGAGGAGGGCAGTAAGGTATCTTTGCCCCCATCCTTCCTGTATCCCTCCTACCCCCATTTCCCACTCAGCAACACCACTCACAGCCTTCCCAGCGCAGCGTGATGGCAAATCAGTCCCACAACATCAAACCTAAAGGATACGGAGAGATGTTACAAGACCCCGCTGGAAACGTCAGTGGAGGCCTGGGTTTGGGCAGGGAAGCGACATGGGGAAATGGGAGATATAAACCATCTCCTCAGCTGACAACGCGCTCCGTTGGCCACCACCACCACATGCCCATTTCCAGCATACACTGGGCCTGTACCAGAACTGAACTGGAAGAATTTCAAACACAGATGAATCCAATTCAGAACTAAAAAATTTAACGGTTCAACTCCCCGCTTTTAATGCTGTTGTAAAGAGCAGCACACTTTCAATTTGTAACCACAACGAAAGGCTTTTAAACTATTAAAGCATTGCCTTGCTGTAAAAAAATGAAAAGGCTGCTTTATTGCAGATAATTGCCAATTCTGCCATATCAATATAGACGGCTGAAGAGAAGAACGCGCTGTACTTTACAGAATCTATTTCTAGATAATTCCAGTATTTCTATTAATTTCCTACCACAACAACTTTTACACTTCACCATGAAAATTTAGCCTGGATTATCAGCTACTGAATGAAAGAACCCTAGATGTAAGTCTTCTGCCCTAGAACAGGTACAGTCCTCCAACCTGATTCGGTTACTCATTTTCCTACCAAGATGGCTATGAAAGGCCCACATAGCTTTCTACTGGAGTGTAAAAAAACAAAACCAAAAACCACACAAAGAACCAAACCAAAACCAACCAACAAACCTCTCTGTTTAAGATAACAATGAATACATTCTATCTGCTGTAACACCAACAACATTCAGCTACTGCTTTTTTTCCCCAACGGGTGTAATGAGATGATTATTGCAGTGGCAGGTAAATACCCCAACATCTAATATAAGCCACTTGCATGGAAAAAAAACCCGCTCAAACAAAACAACCCCAAAACCTGCAAATTCCAAGTTCTCAAGTTCAAAGAAAACCAACACCTCCACATTAGAGATCATATTTGATTCACTTCATTTAGAAAGGCTGTTCAAAGTCTTGCTTTCCCAAGTACAACAGGAAGCAACAAGACAACGACTGGTGCTTACAACCCCAAGTTTCCCCCTCTCCAGACACCCCCTGCCCTGATGCCTTCCAAGATGTTTCATCCACACACTGCCTGGCTTTCAGCTCTGGGTCTGTGTGCTTCTCTCCCTATTCACCAGACACAGACATCCTTCTCTTAGCGTTCAATGGGACTCTCCACCCAAGTAACTCAGCTTCTTTGATGGACTTCCATTTCACTTCCACAGAACGGTAGGAGTTGGAAGGCACCTCTGGAGATCATCTAGTCCAACCCCCCTGCTAAAGCCCTTGTTCTTCTGAACATTCCAGTGTACACACATGAGAAGCAGCAGCAGGAGAAAGACGAGAGCTGTATTTTTCTAACTATACTTCTCCTTGACAAGCCAGTTCTGTAATTGTGGACAGATATGTATATATCTGTAAAAATTAGTCTGCAAATTCAGCTTAAGCTTTACAGATATACATAAAAAACTTGCTGAAATGGAGCAAAAATAGGTGGAATGCATATGGCATAAACTGAAAAAAAACCAAATTCATATGGTATCTACAAATGTACTATAACAAAAATACATACTCACTAATCAAAAACATTTCAACTACTTTTTATTGGCAGTAATGTCATGAGACGAACAATTTCCTTGTGCCCTCTCACATGAGTGAAAGCAGAAGACTGAAGGAGAAGGGGCTGGGGGTTAAAAGCTGCTGATGTCCCACGATGGCTGGGAAGCAGGTGGTGAAGTGCAGAGCACATGTGGGAGGAAGCAGAGATGGAGGCTGGGCACTGCTCTAATGAAGTGGCGCTGAAGAGGCAGACGATTTCATAAGGAGAAAAACATCAGGAAACTGGTCAAAACACAGAGTCTCATCTGAAAAAGCTCAACTGTGTTGGATAGCAATAGCCAGAACAAATTTGGGGAAGAGGAGGGGGAGGGGGGAGGCTGATCTCTCTCCAGAGCCCCAGATGTCTTTATCGTTGCCTAATGACAAT